ATACAGTACTGAACACCACGGGTGCCCAAGATACGGCCAGCGGGCCAGATCTGGCCCGCTGGGGCCTTCGAACTGGACCATCTCAAAAAAATTGAGTTTAAAGAAAATGCTGAAAGCAGTGACACACAAAAAATTGACAGTTAATGCAGATTGTTCAATCAAGAATGGACAAGCAAATATTTCTTCACAATCTTCAATGGCCATATGCTTCGTCTTGTTTATCATGATAAAAAATTTCAGTTTCCAAGGAATACAATCTTCACTACTGGCAAGTCCAAACGCAGAGACTTGAGCAAGATCAATTACTCTGAGAAATTGCCAAGCATGCTGAAAAAAATGGAGGGACTTGTCAACTTGTTTAAATTCAAAGGAGTCTAAAATTTCAGAGGGGTTAATTCATTTTTATCATTGTGACTCAGAGAAAAGGCTTGCTTTTTAATGTGGCCCTTGACCACTTTTGAGTTGGGCACCACTGCTGTACTATGACAATGATGATGCATTCCCCATAAATTTCTCTGGAAGTCTTATTCATCATCTCTCTCTATATATATACTGTATATATCTGCAGGTACTGCACTCTACCGTACCTCGACTGCAAATGACCGACACCTTGCCCTGGCGATGCCTCAGCGACCGCTCCAAGAGCATCTGCGTTTTGCCCGGTGCCGCCCCGGCCATGAGACGGGACACGGCTTCATAGAGGAACACCTTGGACATGGCATGCTTAAAAAAAAAAAAAAAGAGGAGTTAAGGGTTAGCAAAGAACAGTAATAACCTTCAATCAAAACTACGTTTCAATACAGGACGATACAGCAGAGTAGTACAGTACTGTACTGTACTTTACAATAATAATACAGTCATATCCAGAACTAATCTTTGCTCGTCCTCATAATTGTCAGTATTTAATTCCTGTTTAATATCCCGGATACAAAAATATACTTGGTGGAAAAAGAAGAAAATACAGTTGAACCTCGAGATATAACTCGAACCTCCCCGAGTCGATTTTTGTTGTTGCTTTCAAGTCCGGAAGTCCCGGTCTGGATTCCAATTAATTAGAAACAATTACAGTAGGTATTAAAAACCCCTAGTCCAACTCAAAGGCTTTTCTTCTCAAACCTCCGTGCCTCAAATTTTCTGAGGCCTTCTGACAAGTACTGTACCTTATTAAGAGCAATGGAAAAAATTTACTTGATGTTTTTTGCAAGGAATTGCTGATTGACTAAAATGGGGCAAATGAACCCCAACTTGCTTCCAGTAAGTTCAGCATATTCCTGTCAATAACTCAGTCAGAAATAAGCAATATTCAAGGCCCACAAGATCATTAAAAAAATTTGCGCAAAATCTTGTGCTATGATGCGTTCCGCCCACAAGAAAAATAATGCTTGATACTGTAACTCAAACCTACCCCCACCAAAAGGCCATTTTATTTTTATTTTTTGCTTCCTAATATAGTACTGTATTCAAAATTTGACTGTATTATTGTAAAAGGAAAAGGTGAGAGGAAATTGAATGGCGATTGACGCAGCAGTAATGTTTCAGCGAAACGAGACTCACAGGAATATACTGAGAAATGATTCGCAACGAGGCCAGGTCAAACTGGAAGCCACGGACGGCAGGCATCGGCGCTGGGGCAACGGAAAAAACCTGCTTTTCTCTCTTTCTTTCTTCCTGCATTTCCCACAATGCCGTCCGACAATCCAGCAGCCAATCGCACACCAGCAGTTGAGCAGTCTTTGGAATGAATCAAAATCCAAATGGATGATAGAGGCAAATGATGATGAAAAGGGAAACAAACACATAAAAGGAAAAACAAATACAACAACAAGTCAATTATCGTGGACAGAGAGGAGAAAAAAGGAAATAAAAAATAAAATCAAACACATCAAGTACAGTACAGTACTGTCCGACCAGAACCAAGCAAGGAAGCACTATATATAGCACCCACAATAACTCGTGTGTGCTGCTGCAGATGGTCGTTCCGCAGACACCAGTGTTGCAGTGTGATCACATAGCACAACATGTACGTCACGTGCAATGCAACCTCAATGCACACCAGTGAATCCGCTAGCCAGCCAGCCAAAAACGAACAAAAGAATACAACAACAAAAATAATAATAATAAACCAACAGGAATCAAGAATGGAAACACACCGTGCGCGAATATTGAAAAATAAACCGTTCGTTCGTTCGTTTGTTTGTTAATCACCCACCTGCAGCATGAAATTGTCGTCACGGTGCGAGTTGACGCTGAGACTCTGGCGCAAAAGCTGGCCAGCACGGTCGCACTCGTCGTACACTTGCTCAACTAACGTGCCTGTAGTGCAATACGCAGCGAAACGACGATTAAACTTGGACTGATTCTCATTGTTGTTGTTGCTGTTTCCTCCTCCTACTACTCCTTCCGATGTTGTTGACGACGACGATGATGATGATGAAGCTTCAGAGTTGTTGCCGGTCTTCTTTTTGTTGTTGTTGTTGTTGCTGTTTTGCAAACAATTGGCATCAAAGACGAGGTCGTAATGTCGACGCCGGGCGCGGAAGGCAGCCAGTGCAGCTCGGGGCAGGGGATCCTCCACGTGGGTCTTGAGCACAGACGGAATGGCTTCCACGGCCGGATACAACCGCTCCGCCTCGGACATGTCGCCCAGGAGCCACTGGGCAGCCACTCCGACCAGGGCAGCCCACCATCCAGACACCTCGTCCGTTCCTTTTCATTTTTCCATTCCAAAAACAAACCAACAGAAGGGTCAATTGCATCCGTCACTCATTCACTCTCTTACATCAACAATGTACGGTGATTCAGTTTATTTTATTTGTTTTCATTTTTTTTTAAACGGTGTACTGCTGCTGCACCAGCAAAGAAAGGTATACAGTGAGACCCCAAGATGCGGACATAATTGGTGCATCAAGAGTGTCCCAAAGTCAAAATGTCCCAAAGATGAGTCTCATTTTCTCCTAGACTTACATTATATAATTTTTAATGGGTATTTTATGGACAAAATATTACTCGCCATAAATTCTATGAAAATAAAAATTGTCTCCCAAATTTAAACTGATTCAATCAATATATTTCAACACAATATGGACATTAGGGGAATTGAATACTGATACCTCTGTACAGTACATAGAAATGTTGGCATTCTCTGTAGANGTACAGTACATAGAAATGTTGGCATTCTCTGTAGAATAACATTCAAGTGAAAAAGATAGAAGGAAGTCCCTCTATGCTGGAGGTAATTTTTTTTTAATTAGCTAAATGGATGGTAAATTTGTGAGAGAAATGCCCAAGAACTTTTCTTACATCAATTTTAGGGTTGGAAATACTGTATCTGTTTCTTGTATTTTGGCCTGAAACTTACTTGAAATTTTATCACAAAATGTCTCTATGTCAAGTCAGTGTCCTCATGTTGGGCCTTTCCTATTAATTCTCATGGGAAAATAAGTGTCCCTATGTCAAATTGTCTGCATGTTGACGTATCCGCATGTGGGGGTCTCACTGTACTACTGTTCGTGATCTCTGTAGTACTGTACAGTAAAAATAGTACCTGATCTTCCAGCAGAAGCCAGGAAAAAATACAAAGAGGGAGAAGAAGAAGAGGCAACAACTCCTCTTCCTCCCCCTGCCAAAGTGACTGGCTGAGTCGGACCAGCAAGATGAGTCGCAGCATCTTGCAAGAGGCAAATGTGCCGCACAGCATCCGACGTCTGCGTGCGTCTCGTCGGCTCCTCGTCACACGCATCCGACACCCTCAGACCAGGTCGAACCAGTGTGTACAGCGCCTTTTCCAGCAAGTGGTCCCGGTAGAGGCGCAGCACGTGAGCCAGCGGGTCTGCCCGTGCCGAAAGCAAGGAAAACAACGAGTCTTCAGCCTGCGCCTTGTAGCCCCAAGCATGGCCCACAAAGAACCGGTGGCCAGCCGGCGAACACAACCACTGCAGCACAGGAGGCACTTGTTCACTCCTGCTCCTGTCGCCGCCAAAGGGGTCTCCCACGAGACTTTTGCCACCGCTAACACCACCAACATTGTGGTCGGTGGAAGAGGAACAAGTAGACGAAGCAGCAGGAGAAAAAGCGCTAATCGCAGTGATCGTCTTTGTTGTCAGCACGCGGCGCACAACCCGACGTCCCTTGCTGAGATACAACCGTTCTGCCCATCCGCAGAGCCATCGGGGACGCCACGACTCCTTCACCCGCAAGGCGGCCGTTACATAAATCTCAGCCAACGATAGTTGAAACGAGTCCTTGCCGAGAGAACCATTGTTTTTGCTGTTCGTCCTCATCGTTCCCGATTCCTCTGCAGCCTCAGCCAGGTTCACTGCCGCCAGGGCCAATGTGCAACCCAGCACGTGCGACCAAAACCCACCGCTGCCACCACTATCCAAGCGAGTAAGGTGGAGCTGATGCAGGCGATGATAGATGAGCGCCACTTCTTGGTGCGTCTGACGCATCTCCTCTCCCAATTCCCTGTAAGACACAGAGACTCTTTCTTTCTTCACTCAAACAAACAAACAAAAGATTTCAAAAATAGGCTGATTGCTTGATACCCTGCCTGACGTACCTGGATATTTGGAGGGCTGTGATGCTTCTGCCTGCTGCAGCCCTAGACAAGCGCAACAAGAGCCGTCCAATGTAGAGCCAATGAAAGAGCTGTCGCAGCGCCTGCCACGCCAGGGCAGCGGCCAGGTCGAACCGCGTGGCAGGCAGCGGACGGCCACACGCCTGCAGCGCCAATCGCAGTTCCCGGCCAGCACCCGAGTAGTCCCCCACAGCCAGACACATGGCTGCCTGCTGTCGATGGTCCCAGAAGGGTTTGGCGGCACCCAGTCCTTGGCCGGGCCCACCGCCGCCTCCAACACAGAACCGCGGCTCACCATACACCAGCAACAGAGCAAGACCCACTAGCCCAAGCACCACGTTGAGAGCCCAGGCAGTGGCCACGTCAGCTGCCCAGCCCAGCGTTGTTGTTGTTGTTGTTCCTCCGCCGCCAGCACTGCCGTCGTCACGATGATGGTAGCGGTAATAGTGGTCCTCGTCCGTCGTTGTTTTCGTCATCACACTGCCAGCCAAAATAGTCCTGCCCATGCCACCACTCACAGAACTCATCACTGCCGCCGGGTCCGTTGTTGTCCACACGCCGCTCAAGGATTGCACAAGCTGCAAGGGATCCACAACAACACAGGCAAACAAAAGGATGGCGCAGAGCAGGAGTCGCGACCTGTCCATCAGGCCCGACGAGACCGGCAGGAAGGATGACGGGTCGTCGAGTCCCGAATCACTGCCAGCACTCGTGTTGCTCTTGATGCTTCGTGGACTGGCCATGCCACCATCACCGCCACCACTGCCAAGGAGGAGGGAGTCGTGCGGCGAAAGGGCGTCATCCTCCGCCATCCCATCAACCGTTGCCATCATATCATCATCAGCATCATTCCGTGCTCTTCCTCTGGCCCCTTCATCTCTCCTGCTGGTTCCCACCAGGATGGCTGTTGATGCTTGTCTGTCGTGGTCAAGCAGCATTTGACGCAGTTGCGCGTTCTCTGCACGCAGCTTGACTGCTGTGGCCGTGAGATGGCGTATCTTGTCGATAGCCTTCCGCAGGATGGCCGACTTGTTCACCTTGCCGTCGTTACCGGCAACAAGGTCACGCAACTCCTTGATTTTGTCGTTGATTGAGCTCCGGTAACGGCGCTCGATGGCATTGTGGGAATTGCGCTTCACGCCACTGCCTTCGGATGACTTTTGAAACTGCTGGTGACCTCTGACGGAAGTTGGCGACCAATCTCCAGGCTGTTGATGTATCCCGCCACTTTTCCCAACTCCGCCTGATCCTCCTCCTTGTCGTTGCCACCGCTGATTTTGCTGTCCATGCAACTGGTTCTCTTCATCTTCCATCTCTTCATTGTCAGAATCTTTCCCGTCCTCTTCATTGTCGTCTTCGTCGTCATTGTCGTCATCATCATCATAGTTGTGCACCTTTTTGCTGCCCCGGCCAACACCACCACCTTCCATCCTGTTGTTTGTGTGTAATAAGCCAGTTATTGCGACCGCCTTCTTCTTCCTCCGCTTCTTGGCAACTTGCGTCCTGGTTTCCTTCGTCTTAATTTCCCTAAGCGGTGCAGGAGCCAGACGAGGCGCAATCACAACCGGATGCTGCTGTTGATACGCACTGCTGCTGCCTAGTCTTGCCGCCGTAGTGGGCGTCAAAATGGTCAATTGGGACTGGCCAAACCCTGTCCCCTGTTGCGAAAGGAGATGATGATGTTGCTGTTGTTGTTGTACTAGTATTTGTTGTGGTCCTCCTACTCCTCCGCTCGCGTCTTGTCTCCCAGACATTCCCACCATGGCCGTTGTTGTCGGAGTCATCGTCACAATGAGTGCGGGTTGGTTCTGGTGGTGCCCAATGGTCAGGCTGCCTGGTGGAGTCTGCAGGGTGTTGGTGGTTGAAGCGGGCGGTGAAGCTGTTGTCACAACGGCGTACTGCCCATTGCCCAACAGGACCGGCACTTGAATCGGGGTTGCACCCAGAATGGCGTGCTGCTTGTGGCCCATCCGCGGACCGCCTGGGCCAATGATGGGCAACAACGCGCCGCCCGCGACGGAACTTATTGGGCCAGGTTCCGCACCCACAGTGAGCCCATTGGTCAGCAGCTGCGCAACTTGCTGCGCCGGCAGCTGCTTCACCTTCTTCACCAGCTCCTCCTTGAGCGTGTCCTCCAGGGACCGTTTCTCAACAAAGACACGGAACGACGGCGCTGGTTGATTTTCTTCCTTGTCTACTCCTTCATCCTCCTGCTCCTCTTTCACCAGTTGGTGATGCTGCTGCTGCTGAGTCTTCTTCATCGTCGGCATTGCTGTTGTCACCGCCTGAACCACTGGCAATGACGGCCGGGGACACGGGGCCAGGACCGGCGTCTGCGGTGCATAGCTGATCTCGTCCATCACTAGTGCAGTCTGTCTGCCGACAAAGGATGGGTAGCAGCCAGCATCAGAGTCACCATCGCAATAACTGTCCATTGACAGGGGTGGTAGAGGCGACACAGGGGTGCCATCCAACACGCTTGACACGTCTGATGATGACATGAGCGGCAAGTCAAGGTCAAGCGGAGATGCGGGAGAGCTAGTGGCGGTCGACGATGACGACAACAACAGAGCATCCTTCAGCGGGTCATCGGACAAGAAGCTCAAGTCCCCATCTGGAAAAAATGTGCAAGATGAACACGGGAATGATCTCATGCATTCATTCGTGAACACGGCGACCATCAAATCAGTCGTTCGCTCATTTCCCCTCATTCATAGTTACTGTACTGTATTTCTCTCATTTATCCTGCTTTCCTCTCTTCCCCCACAGCGCTGATTCCCCATGATGGGATGGAACTGTACAGTGAGTAAATATTTGCAGCCCTACATACACGTACCGTCCCAGTAGACCGAGTCCATCCCGGCAATTGAAAGGGAGTCCCGTTCGGAATCAAGGCGTTGATGACACAGAGACACAACTGTATAAGCAACCAACTAAACTGTGTTTGTTTGGCGCCGAGACGCACGAGGCTACATTTCCAACATTTGCATGTAGAACAGGAAAGTTCTTGCTTTTCGCAACCTGCGGAAATGCAACAAAATAATAGAAAAAAAAATTAATTCTAAAGTTTAAAATGAATTTAAAAAGGGGGAGATTGGGTGCTAGAAGGGGGGGGGGATTGAATAGAAAAAGAAATTTGAGATCACCAAAAAGTCATTCGTCAACAACTAAGATCAAGGAGAACATGAATCACAAATGATTTTTCAGGGACACGAGGCAGCGGCGGGTTGCTGCAAAGTTTGCAAGTTTTGTCGCATTGCAGAAAAGGCCAACTGACACTCGGCCAGGCTGGTGAAAGAAGTGGTCACAGGTTCTTGTTGAGTCTCCTGTTGCTGCTGCTGCTCCTCCATTGTGCCACCCTGTACCTGGCCCACAACGAGGAGGCCAGCTTCAGCACACACTGCCCTTGTCACTCGCTCCAACCCGATCTTGGTAAGGATGCCGTCACGGAAGAGTCGTTGCGCTCGGTGAATGCGTTCCTTCAGCTCCGGCGGTGATGATGACAAAGAAGAAGAAGACGAAAGCGCAGCCAGCACTGACATGCTGTTTGGCCCGCATGCCAGCCTCGTGCGCCAGTCCAGCAAGTAGCGACAGGGCTGCGTCTCACGCACAGAACGAACCTCAGCCTTCTCTCCACAGCTCACCACCACCTGCATGATCACCATCATCAATTCAATTAAATCATGTCACTCGAACATTAATCAAACTCACTTGCACGGCCCTTGCTCGTCCGTCGGCACACACATCCCCATTCTCCATGTTCATGCCGACCAGCGTATTGTCTTCAATCACCCACTCACCCCATATCCTTCAACAAAGAAAACAACGACAATAAAAGTTAGGGGAGAAAAAAGTCAAGGCAAGACACAGGGAACGGAATCTCCCAACTAACCCAATTACACCCTCAAATGGGTTTGTGGAACCAGGCAGAGCCCTCTGCGTCACGTTGCTGAATGGGCAAAATCTCCAAGTGTACCTAATGGTCAAAGAATGGGAACAAAACCAAATCGCATCATCAACAGTGTCCTTGATCCGCATCAAACAATGTCAAAGATGCTAACTGGTCGTCTTCCATGTCCCAGCACTTGCCCACCACCAGTCGGAATTGTTCCGGGCCTGCAAATGCACGCGGGGACACCCGGCCACTGTGCCTGTCAACAGTTGCATCATCCGCGTGTCTGTGGGTATATTTGCACACAAAGAAACAAAACATACGTCAGCCTAGTCAAAATTGACTCTCTTTCTGACCGAAACTACCTCAGTAAATAAAGAAGAAATAATACGAAAACAGTACTGCAGAGGGAGAGAATAACTTACGCATACTCGTGGGTCTCGCCAATGACTTTCATTGGCACCAATGATCGGCTTCTACGCGCCCCAAGCGAACCCACCGAGGCAACCAGTAACCAGCTTAGGGAACGGATTGAGCAGTCCACCGCCACCATTGTAAAATAATCTCTCCTCTTCTTTGCATTCACATCATCGGACTGAAACGGAATAGAGAGGTGAAAAATGAAAGTGGATCAGTGACTTCTTCAATCATTTCGCCACTGACATTCATGTACTGTGCAAAGCTTCACTGATGGATGGTATGAATGGAATAAATGCAACAAAGAAACGATTTTTTCCTTCTCCCATCACATGGCACTGTCAGTCCATTTTTATTTATTTTCCTTCAGCAATGACAACACCACGTTCATGCTTCGGAATATGTTGTCCTTGGCAGTCTTCACCTGCAAATAAATCAATACCAACACTTATTATTCATACTGTACTGTAATTCTCTGAACACAATCGGTCATTTACCTCTACACTTGCGTCAAGAACTCAGCCAGGTCCAAGATGAGTGGGGGCGGCTGGCAGAGAGTCCTTGCACACATTTTGTTCATGGAAAAAGTCCTCCGACCGCCCTGGAAGAAATCTGTCTCAGACTCGTCCAAAACTTGTTTGCTGTCCCCAATAGCAGGCACGTATTTGATGACCACCAGGTGGTCAGAGCCCATTAAGGACTTGGGCGGATACAGAAGGGTGTTACTTGTCCGTCCACCACGTTTGTCTCGCACAGCTCCTTGGCGCAGAACTGGGCAGCTTCACTCAGGTTCTGGTCATCATTGTTGCTCCAGTGGTTGTAGCTGGGAATGGCCATGGGTCGCAGTCCGGCACCCACCAAAAAGTCCACCAGCCGTGTTGGCAGTCCACACAACAAACACCTTGTCCATGCTGGGAAGTGCAGCAGAGAATGCCTTCAAGTCATCGCGCAACTGGGCCAGATGCCCTGCCTTGTCCCGCTCCCCCCACCCAGCAAAACGTCGACTGCCTGCTATGCCATGATGCCAGCCACAAAGTCCGGGTAGAATGAGGCCCGCATTGGCACCATAATGATGGTCCTCACCTGGTCACGCAGTTTTCAGGCTCCAACACCTGCGCCCGATCCACCGCATCAGCCAAAATTCGTCCTGCTGCAAGTCAAGAAAGAAAAAAACAATATAATAATGAATTGAAAACGACTATAGATCTATAGTGCCAAAATAACAAATGACCCGCCTTTTTTCTTCTCCTTCTTTAGCTCATGTCCCAGTCGCCAACAACTATAGGTCCACGCAAGGGTCCGACAATGGCACCTATCCCCCAAACAGGAATCAGACTTTGCAGCTCTGCTGGAACCCACGCTGACAGTCGACGAGAGGAGCAAGGAGCCTAGAAAGTTGGCCAATTGGTTGGCGGTCTGAGAGCGCCACAAGATCCAGTTCTGATTGGCCATGAGTGTTGCCGTCAATGTGCTGCCGTTGTCGCTACACCAACCAAACATTAGGAGGCCAACCTTGGCCAGCTTCTGCAAGTTTGTGCAGCACACCACCTGCACCACCAAGTGACAAAAAAAGAAAAGAGAAAAAACGTTATTGGGATACCTTATCCAAATGTGGCTGAACCCACTCAGTGCCACAACTGTGGTATGGAATTTTACTGCATTTAAATACGGATTTCCTAATTTTAAAATGGGCATCCTGGTTTTCCTTAAAAATATACACCTACAAAAATAATGAATAAGTGATGCATCAAGGTAAATGGGGATGCACCAGACTGATGATCAATTTGTGGACAATTGTTTCCAAAGCCCAAAAGGTTGTTGACAAATTCTGATTATGCCTAATATTCGTGCCTTGGTAAAAATTGAAAATCGGTTTTTCAAGCTTGCCAGCTTTCTGGGTAATTCAAAATACAAAAATTTGTTTGTCACATATAAAAATAAAATAAAATATATTTTGATGACCATTTATCAAGTTAGAACTTTTCAATTTGGAAATTACTTCAAATTTAAGGCAATCTTCAGACTTTTCCTGAAACTATACCAATTTCAAATCCTAAGAAACACATGATTATTTAAAATTTTTAATTATAAATTAATTATGAATATAGTTATTTTTCTGGATCCAAAATGTTTCATAAAGATTAACCACATTTCTTCAAGTAGATGATTATATGAATTCAAAATCATTTCGGGGATAAAATTTTATTTTGAAGGTAAATATAATAATAATTATATTTAATTATAATTCCAAATACTGTATATTGTTTATTATATGATTTACACCTGCATTTTAAGTCACGAAGGATACGCGCCTGTTCCAGCAGGTGAAAAGTGGTACGCACCTCAAAAAGGTTGAGAAGTCCTGATCTAGTGGATTGTGGTAGTGGTGGACATCACAGGTGCTGATGGCAGCAGATGCAAGTGTTACGGAGGGCAGTCTTTCGTTGGGTGCCATAATCACGGAATAGGAGTTGAGCTCTGGAGACTCAACCTGGCGTCACTATATCACGGTTCCGACAAGAAACTAACAATGTATACATGTATACAATGTATGTATGTCCCTTTATACACGCAGGCGATCACGGGAATATATTGCCCCTTTGAGTTTCTCCTAAAAAAATCCAACAAATAACATCAATCTGAGTTGGCTTCTTTCAAGCAGGTATTACCCAAATACCAGAAAGGAAGGTTACCCTTTTATTAAAGAAATCTAAGAGCTATACAGTACAGCAATGTACAAATAGTTCAACTTTGGGGGAAAAAACTCAAAAAAATCTGCTTTTACATTCAGAAAATATCTCAAGATAAAAAATACTGATGAAATTTCTAGGAAAATGAAACACATGTGATTTTTCAAAATGTTGACATCCTTTGAACAAATTCAGTTACACTATTTATACTCAATATACAGCAATAAAAATAAAACTTATCATAGTACAGTATAAATTTACTTCAAATCATAATCCAAAACCGGTCAATTTTGCGTTTCTCTTTTTAGGGTTCTTCACATCATCTGTGCACATTATATAAAGACAATGGCTTGTTCTTAGCTTTTTGAACTAATACAGTATTTATGCCAAGGTCAAGATTGCGCACCTTTCATCTGCTTAGTTATTTAATGCACCCTGAAGTTGAGAAAAATTTCAATTCAATTTTTGGGGACTTTCTTCCCAATTTTTGATAAACAGAAGAAACCAATTGAATATGTCCCCAACAAAGTCTATGAGAAAATGTGATGTGTCAAGTGGATGCTTTAACACTTGAGCATGCATCAACATGTAACAGAGTCAATCTAAGTTCAGAACTTTCGAAACCCCTACCTTGCAAAATGCGCCACTAATTATTGAAGCAAACCTTCCAAATTCAGTGGTATTCATGAGTGAGAAGCCAACAGGCATCACAAGATAGAATTAACTGTATGCGCTATTTCCTGGTAAAAATTCGTCTCCCCGCCTTCTGTGGGTGGCAAACAGATACAGTCCTTCATTTTTTTCTTCGTATTCGATTTTGAGGCTGAAATTTACGGTAAAAATTAAGGGCCTATATTCGCCCAAGCACTGCTGCTATATTCCTCCCTCTTGGAACTTCAATACGTGTAATTTTGCGTTTAAAATTCTATCAGCTAAATTATTCATTTGATTTATAAATGAAAAACATTTCCTTTTCTGTACTTGGTTTTTCCTTGGTTTTTGGTGCTTGATTCAATTGTGTGAAAGGTATATTTTTCCTTTACTTTAAGCATCAAGAAGAGAAATTTCATTTTCCCCAGACATGTATTCTTCAGTATGGAGTTCTCTGGATGCTCAGCTTTTTTACCTTTGTTTTCACCAATGCTACTTCCATATAACACTTTAAAAACATTCCGGGCTCATACAAGATGCAACAACTTAATCTGATTATAGTTGATGTTCTTGAATTTTTATACTCAATGTTCTTTGCTTTTCAGGTTCACCCCATTGAAGTCTAAGGGGAAATCAAATTATATTAACAAACTTCCGTCGGGAAGTTGGTGAATTGAGGGTCCACTGTAATTATGGATTTTCCGTATGGGAACACAATACAGTAAATGTATGAAGCGGAGGCACAGAAGGCCATTACGCTCAAACTCACCCTTTCCACGACATTGCTCTCACTGGACTCGATCCCCGCAATCACCACGGGTCTCCCGCTCAACAACGAATACAAAATGTGATAGGCCACACCAGCGAACAAGTGGAAAAACGTTCCCAGGTTCCAGCCGGCATCTCCCAAGTTCAGATTCTCCATCGCCCTGCTCACGTGCTCCGCCACGATATTATCCAACTTCTCTTCACGACACAAAATCTGCGACACCGGCGGAGGCTCGGAAGACACTGAAGAAGGCCCACTGTCCACGTAATACTTGTCAATCTCCGCGAAAACCTCGGAATCTTGGTCGCTCTGAAGCATTTCCCACCTCGGATCCGGAGCGAGGTGGAAGAATCCCTCGGACGCGAAAATATCATGCGTCAAGGTTCTGCGGTTGAACTTGCTCACTTGTCGACACTGCAGCGAAGTCGCCCACGCTTCGATAAACGCGACGCATTCTGGATCAAATACATCAATGTCCAATTTCCCGTCCGAAACACTCGGCACCGTGGACAAGCATTTCAACATCCCAATGTCCAAATTGAGGCAAAACTCCGACATGACGTGAGTACGAAAAAAGGAATCCAACTTGTGGAACTTGGAGCACTGGGTCGGGATTGAATACCTCTCCGCAACATCGTACAGGATCTCGATCCCCGGAAGAATCCCCCATTGACACAACACGTGAAATGGCCGGATTGAGTCAAACGTGCGTTTTAATGGAGTCGGAGCGATCAGTCGTGGAGAACGCTTCTTGCTTTCCAAGTCCTTCCCAAGGAAAAGTTGCAACAATAACCGTGTACAACGGAACTTCCCGTCATATACGGCTCGTTTCCATCGATCCACTCGCGCACGCGCATCCGCGTCATTAATCGAGGGCTCCAAACTTCGCAACATCAGTTCGCATTCGGATATTTGACAAGCCAGACTCTGCAAATTCACCCGTTCCAAAATTTCCCCGTCGTTTCCGAAATCGAATTTTTTCGCTGCTGGTAGGTGTTCATCGCTGCTGAACTTTTTCAAGGCGCAGCCATCGGAAGTAGAGTTTGAGATTGTGAAAGAGCTCGAACGAACCAGGTCTTTCACTGGGGGCAAGTCAAACGCTCCTTGAGACAAGGATGACTTCCTTGCATCGGCACTGTCGGCGGAAAGCTCATAAATGTCCAGTTCTACACTCGGAATCCCTCCATTTCCGGATAAGGTTTTGTTGACATCCGACCCCGAAGAAGTCATATCTTTAATATGCAGTGACTCCGATTCCAGCAAGGAGCCATCTGGCATGGGATTCGACCCTGGGGAACTCGAACGAACCGAATCCATCACTTGGCGCGTTTTTGATGCTTCCTCAGGCACACAATTCCCTTCTTCTAGACAATCTAGAACCGGGGATGATCGTTGAGGTTCTTCCATTTCCACTTTAAGCTCGTCAATTTCCGTTTTCAGATCAGGGATCCCTTTAATAAATAAGGCTTCTTCGTCTGATTTGGGGACATCAGCGAACTCCGCCAAAGTCACCTTCTTGATTTCAAGCGTCTCTGATTTCAGCGAGCAGTCATCGGATGGGAAATTTAAATTCGGAGAAGAGCTCGAATAATGAAGTTGTTTAGTTGGAAGCTTTCCTAAAGCTTCTTCAGGCAAGGATAACTTCGAAGCTTCGTGGAACTCGACGAAGACTGGAGAGGATTGCAGCGACCCGGCACTCACTGCCGAAAGCACATCATTTTCTATCTCTACATTTGAAATAACTTCAACCAAGTTACGCCTCTCTAGGAGTGGTTCGTCCGATTTATCGACAATATCCGACCCAGAAGCACTCGACTCTTTCACTTCCTCATGTCTCAAAGGCTCGTCCAAGCATGCAATCTCACTCAGATTTGGCACTTCGTCATCAACTTCCTCCGTTTCCATCGGAATATTTCCCGCATCGTGCCACGAGCGCAACGCGGGATTGTCCCGATTCGACAAAACCCCGAAAACGTGAAGCGTGTCTTCTGCGATCATTTTGTTCAGTGCCTCGGAGGGAGTTTACCCCAGGATACAGCTTTAACACATACAGTTCATACACCATTGCTTCCCCGCCTCTTGCCGCACCGCAGAGCTTCCAGCAACTGACGCATATGCTGTAGGTACTGTACCACACCAACCTTCCTTCGTTCCCTCCTTGTCTGTCCCATTGCACATGTGCCCTAGCCAATCCCAGAGCGAGACAAGAAGTGGCGCGATTCCCGCGCGATGCAGTATGGTAGAGCATGGTATTTATTTTTTCCTTCTCTTGCTCCCCAATCTCTCTTCTCACAGCTACTCCGTTGCCAATATGAACACCGGTAGCAAAGCATAAGTGGAATAAGGTAGATATTCCTGGTATATTTGATAAATTTGAATATACAGTATTGTTTGTTCATAATGCTGCATATAAGCAGTCATGAAGGAAATCCATGGATTTCTGCATGGTGATAGTAATGCAATGCTATTTATTGATGCTTAACCGTAATTTTGTATATTATAAAAATGATATATACATTGCCTCATACAGTACATGCATGTAATTCTAAATTCACTACAATAGTTTGAGCTATGTCCATGCAGGAATAAAATTTGTGATCAGCACTCAAGTATATATGCGGTCTATAGAGAACAAGGTGGAATGCGCCAACCATAGCAGCGGTCCTCAATAATTTGTACCAATGTTCGTCCATTGCAGAAACCGAATTGACGGAGTGGCCCCGCCATCCTCCTTAATCCAGCTCCCTTTCTCCTCCTCTTACGGCCGCAGTTCCAAAGCATCACCCTCATTGTTTTTGAGCTCATCCTGAATTGTGGCAGAGCGGTGATCGCCTCCTAATCCACGAAACGCGTCAACTAATGATGCAGACACATCCGTGCCATGAGCAGCAGAAGCCCAATTGACCCCAAGAGCGACATCATCTACATCCTTTGAGACAACCCTCATCTCCGCATGGACGCAACCCTCATATAGGTAGGCTTCCATCGGACAATTCGCCCAATCGACGACATTTTTGGGCGGGAAGGCGTAGCTCAGAAAATGTACGCGGTCTCATCCACTGCTGAGCACACAACGTTCAAAGTGAGAAAATTTAGTACAGCTTAAGAAAATTCATAACTCAAAATCATGTGGCCCGTCCCTGACCAATCACTACATCAAGAACTACAACAAGCAGGAATTCTGCGGGGCTTTGGTCTTCCCAGAAGGCCCTTGACTCGCGCAGTAGTATACTCGTTATGGGACCCTTTTGAAGTCCATGCCACTCACCTGCGCGCAGCGTGGACGGACTTCTCGCCGGAGCTGGGGATGTGTGCTTAGGAATTTACCCTGCTCCCCCTTCCCCCTGCCTCACTCCCTGAACCAATCACTCTCTCCTTAAAGAAAAATCATGAGAGACTTCAGAAGGCCTGTTTGAATAGGTATAAACAGTGTAGTGGGAGAAGTACTATCTACAACTATAATTTATATTCATTTTACTAAATCTTATGGCTTTACTGAAGGTTCTCTTTTCATTACTCTGATTATAAAAGTTGAGTACATGCAATGAGAAATTGTCTGAATTAAATTTGCTATTAAAGGATTCTTATATTGTATTTATTTGGGTTCAGGCATGAACTGTGGAAATTTCTTCCTGTTTTTTCAAGTATACAAATTTCTGCATTTTAATAGAGCAATGAGTGCAGTGCGAGTCCTACACCGTTTCATCCCAAAACAGCCAGGCTCTGAAGTTGCTGAAGCATATGCACAAGAGAGGGACTGAAGCTGCATGGGGAGTGAGGCAGGGGGAGGGGGGCAGCGTAAATTTGGCAGCTCATATGTGAGCTCCGGCAAGAAGTCCACGCACGGATGTGCACTACAACAATTCAAAATAATTATAGTAGATAAAAAAATTAATCTAAAAAACCATGTTTTNTATTCTTATAATTTTTCTTTTCACAAAAGATTGCATTGTCATCAGTTTCTAAGCTATCCTGAAAGTTTCAGCTTGCTAGCTAGTTCGGAAGTGAGCGAAATTTGAGTTGAAAAATTTGATCTGGACAAACAAACGGACAAGAAAGTGAGTTAATAAAAACGTGTTAATTAATAATAAAATGAAGAGGTGTGATATGAGACTCAATTTTTTTTAAACCGGAAAAGTAAGGTTCTTCCTATTGTAACTAAACTGTATTGCTCCTGTACATATGATTTCTATTAGGCTCTTACCATCTTGATATCTGTGAGTTAATTATGAATTTATTACTGCTGGTCTCCATGCAAAATTATGATGTCGTCAATCAATCCTCGAGAAAACACCGTCTCTTTGCTTTGCTGCAAAGCGCTTGAACGTTCACACTGCGATGTCAGCGCGCATATGTACGTCGAAAATGATGCCAAAACGAAAACCCGCTACGCGTCCGATTGATTCCTTCCGTTCGAGGTTACATTTCGATTGTGTGAAGTCGAGTGTCAAGGTCACCACATTGAAAATGAGCAAGCGGAGGACGGAGGTAAATTTTGAATCCATGAATTCTCTCTCGATGCGATCAATTTGGGTCTAAATCGCATGAAATCTGCGTGTGTCCTATGTTTCCTTTTCTGTCGATCGCGGGCTTTTTGCATTACATGTGAATTCATGCGTGATGATCTCTTCATGAAATTTCTTTTTTTTCATGTCCACGTTTGAAATGTAGCATTCTATAGGTTTCACAGCGCATTTGAAGTATATCATTTTTCACGTCTCCTCTGAATGACGAGTCTCGTTCTTTTTTAAATTCTGAACTTTTCATATTCGTGCCATTCGTTATTCGAGTTTTCTGAGCTGTTCGCGATGCTCAAAGCTGAAGATGCCTTTCCGTTACCCGAACCATTGTCCGCCCGTCATAAAGAGTGAGTATGTTAGCGCTTTATGGAGAAACATCCAAATCTTGACTGAAAATGCTTTTAGCTCCTTCGCGTACACAACCATGAAGGATAGACAGCCTGTCATACTCACGAAAGTTATCGATTATTTGTTCCGGGAGCGCAAAGAAATCGCAGAAGTTTACGGGGATGTAAGTTATTCGCATTAGTCAAGTTGTGTACGACACTGAAATAACTTCTATATTCAGGACGTTCTGGAGGATCTCAAGGCCATTAACGAATTGCTAGCCCAGCTGCGTTATGAGTTGATGACCGACAAGCCTTTGTCTCCGTTGAATGAATCGGAGTTACCTGATGTTCACGATTGGAATCACAGTTTGGAAGAAGCCCGATTCGATTGCGCCGCAAAACACGAAGACTGTTCTTGGTTCACAGCGCCTTGGCTGTTGGTAGAGTGTTATCTCTATCGTCGAATCAAAGACGCTTTTTTGAAAGGGTAAGACTGTCACCTGATGAGTTTTTGAATTGGAATAATTTCCGGTTTTTGTCTCTTAGTTCAGGAACAGGAAAGCTGAAGCACTTCGATTTTTTCGCGGATCAGAAAAAAAGTAGCTTGTTGGATTCGCTGTCCTCGGTGCGGATTCTTGGCAATTTTCTATTGGATAAGCTGTCCCATCTTCAACCGGGAAATCCGGATGCATCAAAGACTCTGTTCTTCCATATGGTGGAGGTATGAAGATAGTTTTGTAGCTGGCTAAATATTCCGACATTTATACTGGAGCGAATTATATTTTTCAGTTATCTTTGTGGGGAAACAAGTGTGATCTATGCATATCAGGTGGAAATCCAAATGCCCACACGTCGGACCCGCTAGCGGACTTGGATGTTTTTCGTCAAAATATTTTATCGGATCACTTGGATGATATTTGGAGCTTTGTGAAGAGCTCTATGTCTCTTGGTCCCGCGGAAATTTGTAAGATTTCGTCGCTTTTTCTCACCGAAAGTATGCCTAAAAATGTTCGAGGTGAATAATTGGTGCCGATTCTTTCTTTCATCTGCTGCAAAGTCTGCATGTCCTGTTCCTCTGGTCACCCATATTTTGCGTATTTTTCAATTTCCAAAAAATTTTTCTCGATCGCTTTCTATCGAATTGAGACCCTCTTGAGTTCTACTCTCAAGTACTGAAAGAAGTACTGCCTCAACTTTAAGCTGATAAATGTTCTCGGCATGAATTACCGTACATAATTTTGCTTCATTTTTGATGAAATTGTATGCTTGAATTGAAGAATGATGATGCGTTCTTCCTCAGGTTTCATAGCGGACAACGCGGGTTTTGAGCTTTTCTCCGACTTGGCCTTGGCGGATTTCTGCGTTTCAATTGGCTTTGCATCAAAAGTTGTTTTCCACGTGAAGAGTTTCCCCTGGTTTGTCTCTGATACTGTAGAATCTGATGTTGAGTTCCTTTTAAAAGTGCTTGAAGAGGAGGGCCTTTGCTCGCTTGCCCTGCGATGGAAGAGCTATTTCGAAACGGAGCGCTGGTCCATCGAATCTGACCACTTTTGGACTCTGTCCGAGCCTTTCCCGAATATGAAAAAGATTCGTCCGTTGTTATACGAGCGATTGTCTCGATTTCGACTCCTGGTTGTGAAAGGTGACTTGAATTACCGAAAATTGTTGAGTGATCTCAACTGGGAGCATCATACTTCGTTCGAATTGGCGCTTCGTCAGTTTCACCCTTGTGCATTGGTGACATTGCGTACCATGAAGTCTGATATGGTAGCTGGACTTCGTCCTTCTGTCGGCAAAAACGCGCATACAATCGATCCGAACTGGATGATCACGGGTAAATACGGTCTGGTGCAATTCAGTGGTAGGAAAGATACCGAATCAAAGTGCAGTGTTTGACTGATTCGAGCGGTTTGTTTGAAAATGTACCGTTATGACGTTGGAAATTCGGCGATGGGAGAAACGAGGCGTGACTGTAAAACCTTTCCGGTTTGAGACGCGTTTCCCAAGTGAATCTCAAGATATTTGAGTTCAAATATCTTGCGAGAGTTTTATCAATTTTATTATCTTATGGGATCCAAGACAACTTGAGACGTGTGGAATTTGAGACAGAAACATTTGGAGACCAATTTTGTTGTCCAGATTTGAGACAGACGTGTATGAAGCTGCATGCCATCTTCCTTGTGGTCTTTCGACCCCCAAGCGTGACAATTCTTCGATAATCTTCTTTCACGGAATCATATACCAATCATTCTTCTCAATCCAAATTGTGATTTTCTTCTGGAATGATGATTCCTTGAAATACTGTACTGTACATGGAAAATTTTCACTTTGTTCCCGTTCAACAGCTTTTTCAAACCCTTTTCCTTCTTCGGAAGAGCATGGAGAACTTGAGAATCATCTCTGGCTAAGAATTATTGTGTTATCAGTATTATCACTGATGGAGCCTCTTCGCTGCTGTCTCCAATGTGGTCTAAAATTTCCCAGTCTCGGATTTTTGCTGCATTCAAATTGCCCAGTTTTTTTGTTTCATAATTTCCCCTGTCTCAAATTGTCCCTCACCAATTGCCCCTTTCTTGAATTGTCCCCGGTTCGAATTGTCCCTGTCATTAATTGTTCCTAAAATCGTCCGTCTTGATTTGACGAGTCTTGGATTTTCTGTTTTGTCCGTATCCCGATTTTATGTTTTGCCTGGGATATTGACAAGGTCGAGGAAATTTCAATTTAATTAAGTTCGATTCTTCTCTGATGACTGTCCAAATATTTCCTGAGGTAGTTTGAAATAGACAGAAGAAGGAAAATTGAAAGCGCACGGGATAACAGTGTGGAGCTGAAAGCTGCTGATCTTCGCGAAGAGGCTTTACAACTTTGCAGGTTGTATATGTGCTGCAAATTAAATCAAAAGAAGACTCAAAACTTCGCCAGGTTGAAGTCCCATGTTTCTACGTGTCAAATGTTTGCTCATGTAATGATGGAATCGTGATGATCTTCTTGTTTCGAAACGGAAAGATTTTATCGTTTTGCCGGAAAATGTCCCGGATGAACTTTCACCCAAGGAAGCGCTCGTAAATTCCATCGGACTAACTGCGTGCTGAGGTTGCTTTAGGAAGGAAAAATAGTTTTGTTTTGAAAATTGTTTCTGTTGTGTTTTTCGGCGATATTCGCGTAGAAAATTGCGTAGGAGTGCTCTTCGCTCCTAGTATCGCTGCTAGTCATACATGTGTGGAACCCTCCTAATGCCTCCCCCAATGTGCAATCACCTCGCTGTGCTCCTTGCCAAAGCAAACGTGTGCTTTCAGCTTTGTCTTCGCGTATTTTGTTCATTTACTCGAACAAGTTCGGTGATGAAGGGAATGAAAAGAAAGGAAAAAAGAAAAGAATTTCGAGCGTTTGTGGCGTTTCCCAGCTGATACCGAGAAGTTTGTGCGAAAATTGCGTCTAAAAGTTCGGTTTATGAATTTTTTGTGTGCAGAAATAAGTGACGATGCCGGAAGAAAGTCAGTTGAATCGTTCGCGATCACGTACAGCGAGACCGAAGCCATTGTATCAGTGGGACAACGCGGACGTTGTCAAATGGCTCAACAAAAAGATTAACGTTGAGAATCGTCAGGCGTACAAAGACGCCTTCGAGAAGCATGACGTGAGTAAATTACATAGTTGTACACTACTGTATTTGATATCAAAGTTATTGTCAGAATTTCTGTGATTTTTCCATCATCTCTAGTAAAAGGATGAACTCGGGTTATAATACCATATTTTTGAGAATTAAGAGCTTTGAGTAAAGTTTATAATTTTGTAGTGCAGTATTTGATATTCAAGTTATTGACAGAATTTCTGCGATTTTCGCATCATCTCTGGTGAAAAAAAAAAAACTCGTTTAAATACAGTATTTTCGCTAATATAGCCACTTCCAGTAAATAAGATAGTTTTACTGTATTTGATATTCGAGTTATCGACAGAATTCCTGTGATTTTTGCATCATCTCTAGTGAAAAGGCGAACTCTAATTAAAATACCGTATTTACTCAAATATGAGCACCTCTTTTTTCCCAATTTAAGAAGCTCAAAAACTATTGGTTCCATGGTTATATTCGCATACTGTATTTATGCAATTCGCGTAATTATGCGTTTATTTCGGGAAATCTTCCTGTTCACAGCTCACGAAGCAATCGAAAACTTCTTTTCTTCCGTTATTTTGGAATTGAATTAAAAATAATCAAGAAAATGGTCAGCTTTCAGCACTTGAAGATGCACGAGTCAATGACTGAAGGGGAAGGGCAAGTGTTGTGTGAAACTCTTATATTTTCTGGGGAAAACCTAAATTAAGTCCGAAATGTTAGGTTTCTGGAAATTCAGAACGCCAAGAAAGTAATTGGACGCTTATATTCGCCTATGAATGGAATTTAAATTTTCTGCATGAAAATCCAGGGAATGCTTATATTCGTCTAAATACGGTCGGAAAAGAAAATAAATTGCATGGTGAGATTTTCGGCGTTATTTACGAATTAGCTCAATTTGATGAATGGAAGCTTCGCGATAATCTATCGCTATTTTCTCTCCACGTGTCTTCCGTTTAGTGGAAAAAATCTGCTGTAAAATCTAATTACGAATTATTGTTCACAACGAATTTCCTTTTTTTTAGTCCTTGTCTAATAGCCACCATGTTATTTTATTTTCGTTTCAACGAGCTTCAGTTTATAATGAAGCCTTTTTATGTTCTCTAACGCTTCGTTTTAACGAGATTCTACTGTAGTGAAAAAATGAGCGAGTTTTCGGTTGGAAGAAATCAGAAGGCGGGATCGAATCGGAGTTGATGCGGTTGTCCTATTGGCCCATTGTCTTTTCGGGGAATTCAGAGAGGATCATTTCTTGAAAGATTTGTTGATTTTTGTCAAATTTGGTTGCAGATTACGGGCAAGGCCTTGACGCACATGACGGAAATCACGCTGATGCGCTTGGGCATAGCGAATCCGGATGATGCTCAAGCCATTTGGAGGGAAATCTTGAAACTGCGGCTCAAGACCGGGATTCTGGAAATGAAGGAGTTTCAGTTGCGAGACAAGCGAATTGCCAACACTAAGTTGACGACTTCTACCAACTCCTGAAGGGATTGAAATCCTGTCTGATTGAATCTCGGATTCGGTTTTTTTTCTTTCGTGGGTTACACTGACGAAAAGTTTCCCCGCGTTTCGGGTGAATGAAATGAGTTGTTCTCGTGACCGGACTGGGCACGAGCTTGTCGATGGCTCTAAAATGGTTCAATTCCGTAAAGAAACGGAAATTTTGTGGACCTGTGAACAGATTTTCACATCGTCGTCGGATTTTTTGAAAGCGGAAAGCGCCGCGCGAAAATTCGTCCTTTTTCCCTGCGATATTTTAATCTTGATCAAACTCTAGAAAATTGTTCGTTCGTTGATGATGACATTTTCATGAGTCACGTAGAAGGATTAATTGATAAATTTTTTATTCTCCTCTGACTAGGACAGACAAGTATTATATGTTTTGTTTTGATACGTAATTCGAGAATGACGGACAGAGTGCCGCTGAAAGATGATTCCGACGAACCTCCTGGAGAACGCGCCGATGACTCTGGACATCAGGATCGAGGTAAACTGGATTCATTTTCTTTCTTTTTAGAAGAAACTTTCAGAGATGTCACGAAATACATTTATTTAGGCTCTCACAGTGAGTTCTCGTTTCGATTTACATTATTTGCAATGATAAGAAAGGGAAAGACTCTGGTCATGAAGATCAAGTGAAACTGAACTCACTTTCTTTCTTTTCAGAGTGCATTTTAGAGAATCACAAAATAAACTTTTGTTGCCACTCTCGCGTTGAGTTCACGTTTGGATTTATATTGTTTATGTTGACAACGGAAAAGACCTTTTCATCGGTTCAAAATTGAATAAATTGAGTGAATTATGTGTAACGTCTGGCAGCAGTATTCCGTATTTAAACTCAAGTGCCTGATAATGAAGTGAGAGGAGTATGTCGTTTGATTCATGGGGCAATTTTTTATTGAAATCGTAGAATCAGTGTTCGCACGATTTGAAATACAGTGCTTCATTTACTCAATTACCACACGCTCTTAAATAAGACACACACCCAGATTTTCAGGCTAAAATTTTATAAAATCCAGCCCCCAGGAAGACAAGCACCCCTTTCAAGTAACTGAAACCTGCAATATTGACAAAAATTGCATAGCAGAATCTGAATTTGGACATGAATCAAACCTGAATTCCATCTGTATTTCCATGTAGAAATATATTCTGCTGAAATTGTTCCAAAATTTTATGTTGGAGTAAAGTATGACACGCACCAAATTCAACTTCCACGTGCCCTTGAGTGAAATGCGCACCCAGATTTTTGAGCGTAAAACTTGACGAAATACTTTCCTTTAGTAAGACGTGCACCCCATTTTAGTTACTGAGAAACTGCAATAAAAAAAAGACATGGCAGGATGTGAAGTTGGACATGAATTAAACCTTAATTCTGTCACTTTGTTAATTTTTTCCATAAAAAATAAATTTTCTGTTGAAAGCGGTCCAAAATTTCCTGTTGGACACGCACCTACAATTTTAAAATGATTTGCAAATTTTATCCCCGCCTACATTGTGCAATCTCCTTTTTATACTCAATTTTGAGAAGAAGGAGCGCGTGTTACTTGAGTAAAAATGTTATTTTGCTTTCATAGTACATTATTTGAACTCTGAATCCTGTTCATGTGTCTCCTCATTTTCCATCAATACTGAAGATGTCCATAATTATTCAAATATTTTTGCAGGAGATGAGAAGCGAGGAGCCAAGAAAACCAGAGACAAGTCATCAAAGGGATCCAAGGAGGACAATCCATTGTCGTTTCGTCAGTTCCTTGCCACTGGAGACAACCGGAGCACTGGCGCCCGTCCGAAATCCAGACCAATGGCGGCACCGCAGCAGCAACAAATGCCGCCGTCGTATCCCGCGCAGAACGGCGACTCTGGACATTTTGTGGATTCGGGACTGCCGGACTTTTTGCGAGACTATATGTCACCGCCGGGGTTTGAGGAAACAGCTCCGCAGTACGTGCATCCCGTGGATCTGACCTCGGACAGTAGGGACGCCGCTGCGACGGCGGCGGATCATCACCACCACCACCACAAGCGGGAAGAGTCGGTTCGCGACGAGGACGGTGGTCAGAATTTTGCGTCTTTGTCGCTGCCGGACTTTCTTTCCGACGGCGTCTTGGCGAGTGCGGAAGCCGGTGCTGGTTTGTACTGAAAATTTATTTATTCTTCCCAAAAGTTTTTTTTTGTGGAGTGCATTTTTCACAAATTTTTGGAAAGATTCATTTTATGAAAATTTGCGTGATGTGTAGAAATCAGTACTGACGAGGTTCGCTTACTGAAGAAACCCATGCCTACTTGAATTTGTTGAACTGTTTTCGTGAATGTTACACAGGTGTCGCCTGAATCAGCTGAAGAACCCACCGATTTTCACTTTGTCTGACCTCATGAAATCTGTTTAAAATCGACGAAAATTGAATTTTTGTATGTACTCTGGAGATTCTAGAATATCTAGATCAACCATGTCGATCTTCATGCACAGCAGTTATATGAAACTGATGAAAAAAGCTTCAGGCGACATTTGAGTAAGTGCAAAGAAGATTAGGTCCGTCTGACGTCACCAGTCAGCTTTCGAAGAGTTTCTTCGTTGAAGGGCATGAATTGAAAATCGTTGTCGGAGTGACGCATTTTAAATCTAGAGTACCGTATTTACCTGAGAACTTTTTTTTGCAAAAATTTTGGCAAAAAAGCGCTCCTGGTACGCGGGTATACACTTTTAGAAAAAATAAATAAAGAATCATGAAAGCTATGGTAGTACTGTAGTTGTAAGGGCGAAAATGATAATGACAATTTTCTGGCACTTATCCTCGTATATCGCTACAAGTTACAGTATTATGATATTATTTGCATGCTAATTCAGTTGAACGTGATGACTCGAATTAAAAAAGGTTTTAAACCAGTAAAAACTTGAGTACGCGTCATGCACGGGTATAAGTTTTTTTTTTCTCTCAAATTCTATACGAAAAAAAATCGAGGTACACGTCTTACTTGACTGCGCTTGGTACTTGAGTAAGTGCGGTATCTATTTTTGAAGTTTCTCAATCGTTTTAAGACTTTTTGCAAATAATTTCAGTCGAATGTCATAATTTTCACGATTGGGATGGTTTTTCATATATTTTTAATGAGCAGGTTCGGCAGCAGTTGCAGAACCAAGGAGAAACGAAGCCGAGGTGCAAATGCTGGAGGTGCAGAGTTCAGAGGCATTGCGTTCCGAACTCCTACACTGTAGATCATTGCTTGATAGGGAGAGAGAAAGGTGATTGATTACTGCATTCACGCATTGATCATTTTTTTCGAGACCATCACGGATGTTCATTTTTGAGCGATGCTAAAGGAATTCAATTACTCTATTTAAGAACACGGATGTTGGAGCAGAAACTGGAGCGATTACGAACCGGAGAATACGAGGAGTCGCTTCGACGGGCGGAAATCAAACTATCTGAGACCAATTCGCGTGCTGAAAGGGCTGAAAAAGCTTTGGCGGATTCCGAACTTGCCCGAAGGAAGCTCGAGGTACTGTACTTCTTTTTTTTTACCTCGCAAAGGATAAAAAAAAAAACTATATCTGTGTGGGAATTTTCGTTTTGCGTAGAATTGTACTAACTCCGACTCGGGTTGATTTGCGGCGAAGTAAACTGTTCGGCTTTTAAGATAGAGTGCTGTAAGCCCATGGCAAAGGGAGGAAAGAATTTTCAACAATGCGATGAAGTGGAGTTTCTGTACTGTATTTCCAACTGCTCTCTTCAAAAGCTAGAACAGAGAACTATCGCTTATGCACACACTCTTGTCAAACATAGCATTTGCTACGAATGTTTCTATGAAATTTTTTTTTGCCAGGAACAGAAATCTGCCATGATTTTTTGGAATTTACAAAGTTTCCTTGGGGCATCAGATAGTTTCGTTGAGGTAGAAAGATCAATAGCTCAACGACATTTCCCACCATTCCCAATGTCAATCTGACATTTTTGCTCTACTCGTTTTTAAAAAAACCTGTTTTTCAAAAGATCTTGCTGATTTTTAAAAAGAATTCGCCGATGTATGAAAAAATCCAGTCCGTGTCTGAGTCCTCTTGGAAGAATGCATTAAAAACCTCTTTAACTCAAAAGCTTTTCCTTTCAATTGTCAGTAACCTCTGAATTTTCTGTGGCCTTTTAGCTATTATTTCATCAATACAAGGAAAGAGGAAAGCAATAAAAAAGTAACTTGATGTGTTTTGAACGGAGGCGAAAGAATAATTGGGCAAATGAGCCCTTGTCTCCAAGTTCAGCATCCTGGCAACTCAGTTAAGAAGCAATTTAAGGCCCTGTGTATCACCGTGTACAATTTCCTTCAATTTTTCTATTGTTCCCACAACAATAATACTTCGTTTCCCTAACTTGTTTTTTTTTACTGGTTCCTTAAAATTCGACTTGAAAAGGTTCGAGTGTATTGCAATGTTTCAGTAACAAGTAAAATTGAATTACCGCAGAAAAAGTTGGCAGCGGCTAACGAAGGAGGCGTGGGCAGCAGCAGCAACAGCAGCGGCGTTGGAAGCAGTTGCGATTATCCCCAGAACTTGGTGTTGATGCGAGTGCGGAGAGCAGCTGCGCAGCTGTCCCTGGCGTCTGAAATTGCAGAGACGTCCTTGGGTCAGCTGTTGTCTGGCGTCGAGTCCCTCAAGACCGTGGCGGACGAGCTGCGAGCGTTGAATCCCGACTCGGACGAGTCCAGCCTCGGCGCGTGCGGGGAGAAAAAATCGTGATCATCCCGCTGAAGGCTTCTTACATGACTTGTGAAGAAGAGCGCTGATTGAAGAGTGTGTGTGTCCCTGTTTTATGAAGAATCTTCCCACGGACTTGGCCAGAGTTCGGTTCAATCCATCCCCGAGTCCAAACTTCAGTACAGTATAAAATAACTTAATCTTCTTTTCTTTGTTTGTTGCGCGAAATGAACTTCATTTATTCTGTATCTTCTACCGAAATCAAAATAAATTGTTGAGCAGCCGTGAGTCTCCTCAACTTGAAATGAAAAGAACCTGGGGTGCACCAAAAAATATCTCCGAAATGGGTGCGTCATCTTTTGAATGAAGAATGGAAAGCTGCCAGGGTGATTTTTTCAAAACATAAGTAAATGCCAAAATTTTCTGGTGCTGAAGAAAGTGGACCTAGTAGAATGTGATTTTCTAGATATATTTCAAAGAAAACTCGTCGAACAGCCTGGGAAGGGAGAGCTCTCCAAGGTCCTTATTAAAAATTAAGTTTTATTACGAAAATTGTCCAAACGCAATTGACAGATACGTTTCCATCAACTGAGCAAATTTTTTCTTGAACGCACCAAACCGCAAAAAGCAACTGAATTTTGACTAGGATAAAACGGGTCTTTTAATGAACGTCTTCTAATGACCTTGAGTTTTGTGACAGGGTAAATATTCAAATTTTGAGCCCTGGGATTGGCCTAGAAATGCAAATAGAAAACGATGTGATGCCAGGGAAGCGTACATTTTGAGAAAGGGAAAAATTGTTCAAAATTTTCCGGTTTTATCTATTCCAGACATTTTTGTTGTTAATCAAATTCAACGTTCCCGCTCTTATCCTCTGAAAATCTTCAAAACGTCCACTTCATGGGGAAAAAATAATTGCTGAGGATCCGCAAAAATTAAGGCAATATGCTGTTCACTTCTTTTAAACCGACTAGATATCTTGATTAGCGTCTTTTAATTTATGAGTCGCTCTAAACTTGATTTTATTTCGAGTTTCTCTTATTTTGCTTAGATGAAGGGATGAAAAATATTTGTTGGCATCGATGAGATTTAAATGCTATTTCTGACGAAAAGCTGTCTTTTTTCACTTTCGGGGTGGAAACTCGTCTTGTCAGAAAAAAAAATGATTAGGCGACACGGAAATCAGCAGTGTGACGCAGGGTTGCCATCATGTGTGATTGGCGTGTAACGGCTTTTTTATTTTTTAGATTTGTACAGTATCAGAATTTTCGGATGGATGGATAGAATTCTGGCTAAGTTTCTGATGAAATTTTTACCTATCTCTGGGAAGGTGTCTTTTTTTAATGCGAACACACACACTCTTCATTTGGCGCTGCTTTACAAGTTTTCGTTTTTTTTTCCTGTTGGAATCTTATGTGCTTGAGCACGTAGCATGAGGTTTGTGATACCGCCGTCCTTTTTCGTGGGAGTCTTCTCGCTTTGTCTCCGTCTTCCCTGGGCGGCTTTTTTTGGGTCTGGCTTCTCGGCAACCTTTTTAGTTCGTCCCACGTGGCTCTTTAATTTTGTTTTCTCGCTTTGCCGTGGAGTCTCGTTTTTTGGTTGGCTGGTTACCTGTGTAAGTTATGTTTTTGTATCCAGACACGACGATGTTCGTAAAGCAGGGATATTATATTTGATGCAATGAGGCTTTTTTTCTCAATAATTTCGCTGTGCGTGATTTTTTTGTGATTGTGGACGTTTTACGTTTTCTTCGTGCATTCGCAGGAAAGTGTTGGTGATATCCACGCGCGAAAATGCAAATTTTCGTCAAAACTTTGACTGGTAAGACGATCACCCTTGAGGTTGAGGCGTCGGATACCATCGAGAATGTCAAGGCGAAAATTCAGGATAAAGAAGGTTTGTTTTTTACTGTTTCTTTTCACGATATTTGTGTATGGGGGATGAAGTGGGAAATCTCGATCCAATCTATTTTGATTACCGGATTAAGAGAGCTCTGGATGCGAAGAAGTTGCATCTCCCTCTCTGTTTCTTGAAAATGCCAATCCACTTTTTTATTGCCAAATTAAGAGAGCTCTGGATACGAAGATGTTGAATTACAGTACAGTAGAACTTTCTTTTCGATGCTTGGCATGCCTTGATATCCCCTAATTTTTGTTTCTCAAATTAACTCGAGTTACATACTGTAGCCTCACAAAAATGATTATGTTGACTAGGGCTTATTTTTTGGCGACGAAAGGTTGAGGGCCCGATACTAGGGCTTTATCTTTTGCAGTGATGCTTAATTTTTCAACGTGTTGCAATCGGAAAAAATCGCTTGGAAGGAAGAAAAAATTGATTGAATCGAGGTTTAAGAGACTCTTTTCCTGACTTTAATCTCGTTACGAGGAATCTTGTTATAAAGAATAATTGCTGACATCGAATACGTTTTTTATGTCCGTGTTCAAAAGCAACATTGCGTTACAGGTAAACTCTTATCTATGAAGATTTTGTCTAAGACGATTTTCTCTGTATAAAAAAAATTTTTCTGGTCTCGTAGGGTTTTCTACAACAAAACTCTGTCTACAACGAATTTCTTCTGGTTCCTTGAATTGAACAAAGCCGTTGGGACCAGTAAAATATTTTCGTTTCAACAGAAAATTCATTTTGACAAAACTGAAATACAGGTGGACTCTCTGAAACGAAATATTTCTTGTCGTTTGAATTTCGCGCGAGTTCATCTGTATTTGAATTTCTTTAAAAAGACGAAATATTTTCTGTGGTAGCTTGAATTTTGTTAGCGGGAGTTCTTTATTACGAATTTTTGTTACATCGAATCAATTTCAACTGGTCTCCATGGCTTCGTCGTAATGAGATTTTACCTGACATGAGATAAAAATTGTGCCGAAGATTATTTCATGAAAAGATTATTCTTTCAGTTGTTAGTACAGTATGTATTTTATTCTTTTTCCTCCGGGTTTGAAGGGATGTTAAATCCGTTTTGTATTTTAATAGGAATCCCTCCTGATCAGCAGCGCTTGATCTTCGCTGGGAAGCAACTCGAGGATGGCAGGACTTTGTCGGATTATAACATCCAGAAAGGTTCGGTTTTCCTTTTCTTATTTTACCATATCTAAATTGTCCTTGGTCATGATTAATTCCGGGTTATCCGACCTCAGAATCCACTCTGCATCTCGTGTTGCGTCTGCGTGGTGGCGTCATTGAGCCGTCTTTGCGCATTCTGGCGCAGAAGTACAATTGCGACAAGATGATTTGCCGCAAGTGTTACGCACGCTTGCATCCGCGTGCGACCAACTGCCGGAAAAGCAAGTGTGGCCACACGAGCAACATTCGCCCCAAGAAGAAGCTCAAGTAGACGGCTTCACGTTTTTTCGTGTCTCGTTCTCGGAAGAAAATCCGAATAAAAAAGGCCTTACGTTTGTGAGGCAGTCAGAAGCGTGAAGAAATGAGTCTTTTGATGTTTTGTATTCCGTGTCGGGGTAAACGTGCAATCGGATTTTCAACTCAATATGTTATCCAAGAACATTCTATCCCCAATTTTCTGAAAGAAAAAAATTAGTTTGATGTTTTAATATTCATTACGTAATTTTCTAGAATTATCCAGCTTTTTTCAATGCGTTTATGTTGCTGGATTCTTGAGTAGTACAGTTGACCCTTCATAACTTTAACCTCCCTGTGTCAAAATTTGTCAAGTCCTTATCTAAATTCCTTCAAAAACAGTGCGTTAAAAACCTCCCTAACTCGAAGACTTAATTCTCCCCCTCAAACCTCTGTGAATCAACTTCTCTGGAGGCCTTTCGGCCATTATTTTATTGACACAGGGAAGAGAAAATCAATACAAATGCAACTTGATGTGATTTGAAAGGAAGTTGAAGAGTAATTGGGTAAATGAACTGTTGCCTCTAAGTCCAGCATCCGGTCAACTCATTTAAAAGCATTTCAAGGACCTGAGAATCACCATTCACAATTTTCTGCAATTTTTCTCTTTTTACCTACAACAAAAATGCTTGTTTCCCTAACTCTACCTCCCCAAGTCGAATTTATTTGCTGGTCCCCTGAAGTTTGGCCTGAAGATGTTCAACAGTACAAGCGTGATGCACGATTACTTTGATTTGGAACGAACACGTTTTTGGTGGCGTGATGAAAAATTTTCAAGTGCTCTAATGCGGAAACAATGTGTTTGTATCATTCAAAAGAAACCATGTGATGTGAAATGATATGATAGGCGCGTACGGGAACTATTCCAGTAGGATGGCCGAGTACCCGGAATTTCTGAACAGGTCGCGTCTGTATCACGGCTCCTCGTCGGCCGCCAGCCAGGCCTCGGACGTGGACGACTGGTCCAGCATTTGGCGCCCACCGCTCACCTACAAGGCCCGACGACGGAGAGCCGCCGCGTTCCGGGATTTCGTCCTTGTCACAGAGTTCTCCGAGATCGAAGGCCCTGTTCCGTTACTCACGATCCCGCGAGATACGAAACTCGACTCGCGACGTTTGAACGACTTGTCTGTCCGACTCATGTCGACGGATTACCAGAGCAGAGGTGGGTCTCATTCCAGTGTGGCCCCGGACGTGCAAGTGTTTCAAACGAACCTTTTACCCGGTGTGCACGCGTTTGCGAATTATGTCACGCTGTGTGACGTGCGTGCCCGGGGGTTTGTTCGACCGCTGTGTGTGGCGTACGTGACCGGAGACGAGTTGAAGGTGCCTGTGATTTTCGAGGAGTTGCGAGAGCGGATTTTGCGGGCGTGTGATATGTTTAAGCACACGAACCGGCTCTGGTTCGAAACGGAATTGTCAGCGTTGCTTGCGGACTTCACGTACACCAAAGAAGAGTATCTCAAGTGGAGTTCAGCGCCCGAGTCCTCCGAGGCACTGAACAAAATGATCGCAGAAGACACGCTTCACGTTTTCGGGGTTTTGTCGAATCGGGACAATCCCGCGTTGCGCTCGTGGCACGATGCGGGAAATATTCCGATGGAAACGGAGGAAGTTGATGACGAAGTGCCAAATCTGAGTGAGATTGCATGCTTGGACGAGCCTTTGAGACATGAGGAAGTGAAAGAGTCGAGTGCTTCTGGGTCGGATATTGTCGATAAATCGGACGAACCACTCCTAGAGAGGCGTAACTTGGTTGAAGTTATTTCAAATGTAGAGATAGAAAATGATGTGCTTTCGGCAGTGAGTGCCGGGTCGCTGCAATCCTCTCCAGTCTTCGTCGAGTTCCACGAAGCTTCGAAGTTATCCTTGCCTGAAGAAGCTTTAGGAAAGCTTCCAACTAAACAACTTCATTATTCGAGCTCTTCTCCGAATTTAAATTTCCCATCCGATGACTGCTCGCTGAAATCAGAGACGCTTGAAATCAAGAAGGTGACTTTGGCGGAGTTCGCTGATGTCCCCAAATCAGACGAAGAAGCCTTATTTATTAAAGGGATCCCTGATCTGAAAACGGAAATTGACGAGCTTAAAGTGGAAATGGAAGAACCTCAACGATCATCCCCGGTTCTAGATTGTCTAGAAGAAGGGAATTGTGTGCCTGAGGAAGCATCAAAAACGCGCCAAGTGATGGATTCGGTTCGTTCGAGTTCCCCAGGGTCGAATCCCATGCCAGATGGCTCCTTGCTGGAATCGGAGTCACTGCATATTAAAGATATGACTTCTTCGGGGTCGGATGTCAACAAAACCTTATCCGGAAATGGAGGGATTCCGAGTGTAGAACTGGACATTTATGAGCTTTCCGCCGACAGTGCCGATGCAAGGAAGTCATCCTTGTCTCAAGGAGCGTTTGACTTGCCCCCAGTGAAAGACCTGGTTCGTTCGAGCTCTTTCACAATCTCAAACTCTACTTCCGATGGCTGCGCCTTGAAAAAGTTCAGCAGCGATGAACACCTACCAGCAGCGAAAAAATTCGATTTCGGAAACGACGGGGAAATTTTGGAACGGGTGAATTTGCAGAGTCTGGCTTGTCAAATATCCGAATGCGAACTGATGTTGCGAAGTTTGGAGCCCTCGATTAATGACGCGGATGCGCGTGCGCGAGTGGATCGATGGAAACGAGCCGTATATGACGGGAAGTTCCGTTGTACACGGTTATTGTTGCAACTTTTCCTTGGGAAGGACTTGGAAAGCAAGAAGCGTTCTCCACGACTGATCGCTCCGACTCCATTAAAACGCACGTTTGACTCAATCCGGCCATTTCACGTGTTGTGTCAATGGGGGATTCTTCCGGGGATCGAGATCCTGTACGATGTTGCGGAGAGGTATTCAATCCCGACCCAGTGCTCCAAGTTCCACAAGTTGGATTCCTTTTTTCGTACTCACGTCATGTCGGAGTTTTGCCTCAATTTGGACATTGGGATGTTGAAATGCTTGTCCACGGTGCCGAGTGTTTCGGACGGGAAATTGGACATTGATGTATTTGATCCAGAATGCGTCGCGTTTATCGAAGCGTGGGCGACTTCGCTGCAGTGTCGACAAGTGAGCAAGTTCAACCGCAGAACCTTGACGCATGATATTTTCGCGTCCGAGGGATTCTTCCACCTCGCTCCGGATCCGAGGTGGGAAATGCTTCAGAGCGACCAAGATTCCGAGGTTTTCGCGGAGATTGACAAGTATTACGTGGACAGTGGGCCTTCTTCAGTGTCTTCCGAGCCTCCGCCGGTGTCGCAGATTTTGTGTCGTGAAGAGAAGTTGGATAATATCGTGGCGGAGCACGTGAGCAGGGCGATGGAGAATCTGAACTTGGGAGATGCCGGCTGGAACCTGGGAACGTTTTTCCACTTGTTCGCTGGTGTGGCCTATCACATTTTGTATTCGTTGTTGAGCGGGAGACCCGTGGTGATTGCGGGGATCGAGTCCAGTGAGAGCAATGTCGTGGAAAGGGTGAGTTTGAGCGTAATGGCCTTCTGTGCCTCCGCTTCATACATTTACTGTATTGTGTTCCCATACGGAAAATCCATAATTACAGTGGACCCTCAATTCACCAACTTCCCGACGGAAGTTTGTTAATATAATTTGATTTCCCCTTAGACTTCAATGGGGTGAACCTGAAAAGCAAAGAACATTGAGTATAAAAATTCAAGAACATCAACTATAATCAGATTAAGTTGTTGCATCTTGTATGAGCCCGGAATGTTTTTAAAGTGTTATATGGAAGTAGCATTGGTGAAAACAAAGGTAAAAAAGCTGAGCATCCAGAGAACTCCATACTGAAGAATACATGTCTGGGGAAAATGAAATTTCTCTTCTTGATGCTTAAAGTAAAGGAAAAATATACCTTTCACACAATTGAATCAAGCACCAAAAACCAAGGAAAAACCAAGTACAGAAAAGGAAATGTTTTTCATTTATAAATCAAATGAATAATTTAGCTGATAGAATTTTAAACGCAAAATTACACGTATTGAAGTTCCAAGAGGGAGGAATATAGCAGCAGTGCTTGGGCGAATATAGGCCCTTAATTTTTACCGTAAATTTCAGCCTCAAAATCGAATACGAAGAAAAAAATGAAGGACTGTATCTGTTTGCCACCCACAGAAGGCGGGGAGACGAATTTTTACCAGGAAATAGCGCATACAGTTAATTCTATCTTGTGATGCCTGTTGGCTTCTCACTCATGAATACCACTGAATTTGGAAGGTTTGCTTCAATAATTAGTGGCGCATTTTGCAAGGTAGGGGTTTCGAAAGTTCTGAACTTAGATTGACTCTGTTACATGTTGATGCATGCTCAAGTGTTAAAGCATCCACTTGACACATCACATTTTCTCATAGACTTTGTTGGGGACATATTCAATTGGTTTCTTCTGTTTATCAAAAATTGGGAAGAAAGTCCCCAAAAATTGAATTGAAATTTTTCTCAACTTCAGGGTGCATTAAATAACTAAGCAGATGAAAGGTGCGCAATCTTGACCTTGGCATAAATACTGTATTAGTTCAAAAAGCTAAGAACAAGCCATTGTCTTTATATAATGTGCACAGATGATGTGAAGAACCCTAAAAAGAGAAACGCAAAATTGACCGGTTTTGGATTATGATTTGAAGTAAATTTATACTGTACTATGATAAGTTTTATTTTTATTGCTGTATATTGAGTATAAATAGTGTAACTGAATTTGTTCAAAGGATGTCAACATTTTGAAAAATCACATGTGTTTCATTTTCCTAGAAATTTCATCAGTATTTTTTATCTTGAGATATTTTCTGAATGTAAAAGCAGATTTTTTTGAGTTTTTTCCCCCAAAGTTGAACTATTTGTACATTGCTGTAATGTATCTGTAATTTGGGGTCCGAGTGTACTGTTTTTGCCTGTGTTACTCTTCCAATGCAGGAGCGACACCTAGCTTTTCAAAGAGAACCTGTATGGAATGTCTTAATCCCCTCCAATAATCTCTTGTCGCCCTTAGCCCTTGAAATACAGTACTGTTCAGTACTTCATTACATTCAAATTACATTTTTGAATCGGTAGGTGAGAGCATTGGAAGCATTTCTTCCGCGAGGAAGCCGTGTCCTCCGCTGGCATACCGGAATCGTGGACAGTTTCCACGTGCAACGCTACAACCTCATTGGCATTTGCGTTCCAGAACGGTTAAGCGTGATGGACATGATGAGCTCTGCGAATCTCAACCGCGTCACAGTGCTCAACACCGAGAACCAGCATATCTTTGGGCCTGCGTACAGCGGCTCTTTGCTCGAGAACCTCACGCACACACGGGCAAAAAGGGCGTTTCAAAGCGATAAGGCCGTGTTGAGTCAAGCCTACGGAGTCCTGGTCAGTGTGTCGCGGAAGGTGTTTCTGTGCTACGCGTTGACGAAAGAGGGTCGACTCCAGCTGAAGGAGGTTATGGCAGCACTGGGTCTAGATAGTTGTGATCGACAGATCGTGAAATATTTGCTGGACAAGTCCAGTTGCGTGTGATATGAACGATGAGTTTCGTTTCGTTTTTCTTTCGTCTTCCGCTAGTGGTACACGACCGTTTTGATCTCCCGAGCAACCCGTGGTGCGGAACTTCCAATGCACTCTTCTGAATTTGGCGAAGTGCCTCTCACTCATGATGATCGTAGAGTACGGTAATCCTTCAAGATGATATTTCTGCCTCCCGAAATCGTTCCTTGTACCCGCGCGCAAGATGGAGGAGCCATCGTTCTTTGATGACTTGGTATCCCCCGCGCGCGCAAGCCGAATGATGGCGTCTTCGATTTAAATGAGTTCGGCCAATCAGGAGACTCTGGCGGACGCTATCGCACGGTTACTAATGTACAGTGCTGTACTGTACTGTACTTTAATGTTTCTGAAGGGCCTCGCTCTAGGCGGATCCTTCCGTTGAACCATTTATGCGGTACACAACAATACAGTAGTAGTAATCCTTAATCCTTGAATGCTGCTTTCCGTGTTTCCATTATGGAAAAAATAAACGAGTACATATCGTATTTCATTCAGGTTAGGTCATGATGGGTCAACTACGCTGACTGTGACACACATCTTCTTTCAATTTCTTCCGTGATTATTTTTCTTTAATGCTTGCCGTCTTCATCTTGCAGCAGCACATCGTACTGTATTAGTTCCTTCAAAGCTTAATGGCGTGAATGATTCTTGTCTTCGTATGTTTCGCTGGTCAATAAATTCATAAAACTACGGTATCATGGCGTGTTCGATGTACAGTACAGTATTGTAATGAACTGTGAACCGAATAATTTATCTTCAGTATACCGATGCGTTTTTGGAGGGAAATACTGTATCACAAGACACGCTTCTTGTGCCTTGCTTGCATATAGTGATTGATTGTTAATTTCTATTGTGTAGAAAAAAGTTGAAATTGTTAAATGTGACAGAAGATATACTGTATATGATGGGAGAAAAGGATCGATGGAAGTGTTACGCGTAATGATGATGCAACCGTTCAGATGCAAACACCCAGAACCTGGGTCTGATAATTGGTGTTGTGAAGCGAGGATATACGTTTTATTTTCTGGTTCAGTGGTCATTGTGGTTACTTCAAATGGCGCCGAGTTGGATCGTGTTCATTCCGAGTGCGGAAGGCTTGTTGGAAAATTGATGGTTCTTGCTGAGGAAGAAGATCCCCATGTCCGCGGGAATTGAGAAATGGTCTCTGAATTAATCCAGTAAATTTCTGCCGCCCAGTTTGACACTAGAAAGATTTATCCCAGTTCCATTTGAACTCGCAACTTCCGCCGTTTTTCTCCGTTGTATTCGTTTTCTGTGTCGTCGGAAAAGTCTCCCAAATCTGCATCAGCTCAAGATGCAGTCATTCATCATTTTCCTTAGAAGAAGGCGGGTTTTTGTGAAAGACGAAATAAAATTCCATGTACAAATTAATTTGTGACCTGTTCGAAGAATCTATATTCTCATCTTCCTTGGAAAAAGCCTACGAAATTATTTTAAGCAGCGTGGATTTCGTTCGAAAATTTTCAGGCATAGAAAGTAGTGAATCACCGCAGAATCTGTCTCTTTATGAGCCGCGAAAGATATGAAAAATAAATGTGATTTGAATTACAACTTGAGGGTAATATTCTTTTGTTTTTCTCCGGAAACAAAACTCTTGTTTCAGAAAAAAAGCTGTTGAAACTTTTTTTTTCTCGAGTACAGTACAGTATTCAATTTTGTCTTTCCTGGGAGATAATTAAAGACATATATTAATTGAAACAAAACCCGTCCGATCGAGAAATTATCCCATAATGAGAAGAATATGAAGACAGGAACGAGTTTTGAATGCCTTTCAGGCGAAGAAATTCTTGTTGAAAGATATTCGAAGGAACGAGTGTTTGAAATCATCGGAATTTCAACACACGTTAGGACAGAATTTCCATCTTTCTTCTTGTGTGTGAAAATCACGAAGCGTGAAAATACTCGTGTCTTTACGTCCGATTTTTAAAATGGGAAAGTATGATTTTATTTGTTACTTATCTTAATCAATTTTGCTTTGGGAGAAACGAAAAATCCCGCCCTCAAGTTGTTTTCATTTCCAATTTTTCAAATCCTTTCTAGGTGTTGGAAGACTTAGTATTCCGAACGCGGGAAGCTGGTACCATTTTGGTTGTGTTAATTTAATTTCTTTTTATTTTTAAAGCCCTTTTTTAAAATACTGTAGTATCTTATTTTCAAGTACAGTATTGGTGCTATAGTTGCTTCTTCCAGGCTCAGGGATGCCAAGGATCATGACGTAGAATGCCCTGGAAGGAAAAAAATGTTGGCAAAATAAGTTCAGACGTGAGCTAATTCTTCCAAGAAAATTTGATAAGTGGAGTTTCGACTGCGGGCATTTCGTGTGGATAAAACCGCGGTATTTTATTACAGTACTTGGTGATGAGAACGTGAATTGCATTCCAGTCCGCATTTTGTTGATCGTGCCTGAGTACTTCATTCGTGGAACGAGGCGAAGGGTTGATTGTATGATTATTTTGTCTTCGCCCTGTGAATATTGATTTCTGAGTGACTTCACGGAATCTCTCGCTTGTGCTAATTCCGCGACAAAAGAGGAATTGTAACCGTGACGAATTAATTATGGCCTTCGATAGAATTTTACTTTGATTTAATAATTCTGCGTTTGAAACGAAATGCTTTTTTTTTACTATGCTCATTCTATTGCCTTTCGGAAAAAGTACGAGTGCGTGGAGTAAATGTACCTGAGACTGGGACGAAATAAACGAACGTGATTCAAGCGTTGGATTCCGTTCAGTGACAAAAATTGTCATTTTTTTTGTAAAGAAATTTTGCCTTTGTCAGTTGAAGTTGATGCTCGAAAGTGTGGAAGTACTGTAACTGAAATTTGTATTTTTTATTCGAGGGAACAAATTAACATGAACTGTCTCTGAATAAATAAAAGATAGAAGGAAGGAAGTTTTGCGTTTTCTTGTCTCACAGAATTGAAAGACGTTCAGAACGTAGCGTTTTTAGATTTCAATCATGTGCGAATCTTCACGATTTTTGGACTTGAGCTTTCTGAGATGTGCATGTTCTTAAGGTTTAACGAGGTGCGTTTGTGACTGTCTGAGAAAAGATTTCATGTTTTCCCATGATAGAGTGGTGGAAATTTCTTCTCGCCTTTTTCAAAAATTCTAACCAAGAATCATTCATGAATAGATTCGTTCTGTCATGCAGTGAGCAAGTGTATTGTATTTATCGACGCTGACTAAACTTCGGAATATTTTCGGACCATACACTTCTTTTTTTGATTCCAGTGTTTTCCCGAATGATTCAGTGATGCAGTTTTGTTGTTGTTGCAAGAAAATAAGTGATGGTGACATCTTCTGTACGTAAATTGGTGAGCACTCCGACGTGATGGATGAACCTGAGTGGAAAACGAAACGAAGAGCCAAGTGGATTCTTCTTGTTGTGCTATGGTCCTTGCGATTGGGACTGTGTCTGTGGCCTCAGTATGGATACATACACCCTGATGAATTTTTCCAAGGCCTGGAACCCATGACTGGTGAGCTTTTGTGTCGCTCATCCAAGATACAATTTATGAATGGCTCCAAAATGTTTGCTGAATAAAGAATATAAAATGAATGAAATAAACAAAAGAATAGACAAACAAATAAATACATGTAATTAACCTAATGAAAAACAATTAGAAATTATATTAAACGAGATACAGTACATTAGAATCTTATGACAACAACTCTCATTATAACGAATTATTGGTAACAACGAAGTCATTTTTAAGGTCCCTGCCCAATAGGAGCAATTTATTCAAATCGCTTTTCAAAGAATTACTATTTATAACGAAGAGGTTAGTCGCCAGAAAGTTTTACTGTAAACGAGAATAAACTGAATAAATGCAAGTACGAATGGAAGTAATCTGAAGAAATGAAAATAATCTGAATGAAGAATAATTTAATCAACTAACTGAAAATAATAAAATAAACGAAATGAACTTGATAATTATGAAAGAAATTTCAATTCTCAGACAAGTGACTCGCACAACAACCTTTTTTAAAGAAAAGTTTGGAATATTCTTGCATCATAGTTTTTCAGGCGAGAAACTGCTCGAATTTTAGCCATCACTTCAAACTATGTACGGCTAATATTGTTAGAAAAAATAAATGAATAAAAACGAAGTCGTTGACCGGATACTAAATACATTAAATTTGAGAGCCTTTTTACCCATCCTCGAATATTGAAGAATAATATTTTTGTTTCCGGGTTGACGTTCGAAAATCTTCGTCAGGAAACGTGGTGTCCACCCAAAAATGTGGTGGAAGGCGAAACATGAGGAGAGTTTTTTTTAAACATTAAAAAAAGTGCTCTGATCATTCCCTCGAAACTTAAACTTTTTTGTCTCGTTACCAAGCAAATTAAGTTCACCAGCAAAATGACCAAATATTGCCTCAGAAATACAGTAACGTGAGTTTCTTCGGTGAAGAAATATTTTTTTTTGATTGAGACTTTTTTAAAGTTTCGTTTATAGTTTTCAATTTTTACTTACATAAGTTTCAAGCTGGATAACACATTGAAAAAAATTGATTCCTTGTACTGAATCTGAAATATTACAGTTGTATTTATCAGCACTGTTTCTTCAGCCAGGACCTTGAAAAAAATTCGTTTTTAAATCTGTAATGTACAGTGAGACCCCTAGATGCAGACGTAATTGGTGCATCAAGAGTGTCCCTAAGTTGAGTCTTGTTTTCCCATAGACTTACATTATATAATTTTTCATTGGTGTTTAATGGAAGAAATATTCTTCAGAATTCCAGGAAAAAAATTGTTTGTCACTTGCATTTGATTCAGTGAATATATTTAACTCATTAAGACATTTGGAGCATTGAATAGTGTTTCTCTGTACTGTACATTGAAATTTTGGCATCTACAAAAATAACATTCAAGTCACAAAGAGAGAAGTCCCTCTATGCAATAGGTAATTTTTTTTAATTAGCTGAATGGATGGGAAAATGATGGGAGAAATGACAAAGAATTTTTCTTTCAAAAATCTTGGGGTTGGAAATATCTGTTTCTTGCAATCAAGCCTAATAAAAGTCAATTTTTGTGAATTTTATTGGCAATTTTATCATGCAATGTCCTCATGTTGAGTCAGTGTCTGTATGTCGGGCCTTTTTATTGAAAAATAAATGTCTGCATGTTGAATTATCCTCTTGTTGAGGTGTCCGCATGTGGGGGTCTCACTGTACTGGGATTTACCCATGTTTTTGTTTTGTTGTTGTTGTAACCTTCATCCGATGAATGCCCAGGATTATTTTTTCGAATGTTCCCAGTCGTTTTCGTGTTCACGTACATTCCAAAATCCCCTCGTGATTTTCATTTTCCAATCAGGTGCCGTGATGAACTACAACGTGTCCCTGCCCTGGGAATTCACCGACGAACACCCGATCCGCAACATCCTCTTTCCCGGGCTCTCCGTGGGTCTACCCGCGACCATCATGCGTTTCCTCTTCGGCTCCTCGGGCGTGTCGGCGTTGAGTCTGCTCCGAGCCCCGAGGATCCTCGTGTGTCTCCTGTCGTTCCTGGTGGACGCTGCCATGTACTTGGCGACGAAGGAAGTCGGAAGGGATCCCTTGTATCCCTTGCTGGTGCTGAATTCCTCTCACGTCATGCACGTGTACTCGTTTCGGACGATGTCGAATGCGATGGAACTGGTGCTGTTTGCCTTGTTGCTCTACAGGTGCGGGGGGTTTTTTTTTTCTTTGTTCGGTGATGATGAATGGACGAGCTGTTGGTAAAAGAATGGTGGGGAAAACAAACATCCCTGGAGTAGTTGGAGCGACATCTTGAGTGGAAATTACCATGTACAGTTGAACCTCTTCAAGTTGAATTTCAAGGGACCAGCAAGAAAAAGTCAAGTTTAAAAAGAAAGTATTTTTGTGCTGGACTTTTGGGAAAGTTAGTGGAATTTCAGGGAAATTTCATTTTTGAAGAGCAGCAAAAAAAAAAAAACACGCTAGAAAAGTGGCAAAAGAAGGTTAAATTGCCCAGCAGAGGTTGAAGTGGAAGTCAACCTTCCAGCAAATTTGACGCATCAAATTGCAAGAGGTCAAATTTTGAGGTACTGTACCACCTGTATGATACTTTTAAAATTGCACATGTTTAGGTGCACATCATATTTGACTCTAATGGGGAATTTTGTAGAAAAAATGTTTATCGGAGCAATTTCGAATTGATAGAATTCTGATTTGATTCATGTTTAAATTTAAATTCTGATCTGTCCTATTTTGAAAAAAGGTATTGCAGTTTTCAATTCACTTGAAATGGGATGCATGTCTCTTACTTGAAGATGTGTGGTGCTTAATTGAACAAAAGTGAAGGTGGATTGTCAAGAAAGTAAGATTTTGCAAATGTGTTCAGTAATTTCCTGATGATTTCCTCAAGTTACTGTTTGATTTATCCAGAGCAGTTTTGAATATTGTAGTATGTGAACTTTATTTGATGGACAAGCTGGGGGTGCCCAGCCACACCTGGGCAATGGTTGGTATGACTTTTCCCAAGATTTTGAAATTTTGCAATGACAGTAGCAGGTCTCATGTCTAAGAGCAGGTTTCCAGCCAAGTATTTGGTCATCATTCACTAAGTTTCATGAGAAAAGTTGGAAAAATCTTCCTTATGAGCACAATAAGTGATGTTTGAGGGACACTGGTATTGACTGGCCACACCTGGGCATCATGTTTAGAATTTTACCAAGATTTTTTAAATTTCCCATAATTACAGCAGATATGCATCAAAAAGAGGGTGGAGGGACAGATGCTTACAACTGGTACCATGTTTAGTATTGCACAATAATCATGCATGGATGCCCATCTTGCCAGAGATAATACATGCTCTGCAAGGCTGTGAGCCAGCATGCCCCCCCCCCCCCATCCATCACTCCCTGTATACAGCACTGTCTCCTCAGAACAAATTCTCAAGAAAATCTATAAGGTGGTTTTGAGTTGGCTTGAGTATGACTTTAGTGCTTATAATGTCCCAAAGTGTTTCACTGCTACTTGATGCAATGGCCCTTTGTTCAGTATTTCACTGTACAGTATAACATTACAGCCCAAATTTTGCACATTATTTCACTGTATGACATTTGGTCCCATAATGTCCCACAGTATTTCACTGCTATGCCACATTAGATCCCTAACATTGAACTGCATTTCACTGTAGATTGTTAGGGACACAACATCACACAGGATTTCTCGGGCCCCCCCCCCCCCCCCCCCCCCCCCCATCCATCACTCCCTGTATACAGCACTGTCTCCTCAGAACAAATTCTTAAGAAAATCTATAAGCAAGGTTTTGAGTTGGCTTGAGTATGACTTTAGTGCTTATAATGTCCCAAAGTGTTTCACTGCTACTTGATGCAATGGCCCTTTGTTCAGTATTTCACTGTATAACATTTCAGCCCAAATTTTGTGCAGTATTTCACTGTATGAAATTTGGGCCCATAATGTCCCACAGTATTTCACTGCTATGTGACATTAGATCCCGAACATTGAACTGGATTTCACTGTAGATTGTTGGGGACACAACATCACACAGGATTTCACTTCATGACACTTGGGCTCATAATCTTGCACAATATTGCAATGCTGTATGACATGAGGAACTTGAATTTGCAATGTATTTTTTTTAGAGCCCCATTAATGTCACACAGTATTTCACTGAGTGGCATTAGGGCCCCAGCATTGTTACATATGCAACACTTATCAAAGTTGAAATTAATGTATACCTTCAAAAGAAGTTAGAGCTGCAATTACACTGTATTTAGAGAAAAATACAGGTGAATGGTAATAACTCAAACCTCTATAAGTCAAATGTATCCTTATATCATTTTTTGCTGAGTCCCCATCTGAATCCCTCAGGACAAACACATTGAAAATCAGCAAATTAACCCTTTGCTTCAAGTTTGGCTTACTGTTAACTCATTTTGAGAAGCTATTTAAGGCACAGCATGTCCCTGATAAACATATAGTTCATTCTTTTTTCCTTTCCTTAAGCAAAAATGCTTGTTCCCTCACTCCAATGACGTGAGATATTGAACTAAAAAACGACTAGGGAACTTTAAACTGGGTTTCTCAAAACTGATGACATAATAAGACTTACGTATATCCTTATAAAAAACGTCCCAATATACGTGTCTCAACAAACTTGTTTTTGTATTTGACAAATGTTGCAAATTGACTGAGATGAAATTCAAAACATAAAATATTTTTTCCCAATTTCCATAGAATTTTCAAAAAAGACTTTGCAATTTTCATTTTATTTCAATACATTTTCAAGTTTTGTCAAAACAAAAAATAAGAAAATATGGCAAACACCATGGCCCTGCTGATGGAGTTTTAAAAAGTAAGTTTTATTCAGAATTGAATTTTTGCCAAATTTTTAAAATCAGAAAAATGGGAAACAGAACTTTCAAAAATGTCCTTTTTTTAAGTTTAGCTCATGATAACTTTTGTTCTATTAGTGGAATGTAAATCATATTTCAGGGGTGAATGTGCATAGATGTTTTTTGAATTTACAAAGTTTTTTCATTGAGCAAATTTAAAAACTTGAAAAGCTAAAATTCAAAAACAAAAACCTTTTTTTTCCAATTCTTGTATGATTTTAAAGAATGTTTTTGAGTTTGTGATTGTATCTCAATCAATTTTGAAGATTTTTCAAAATTGGAAAAAGTGACATTTAGAAAACATCTGTGCGCTTTCAAATTCAGAAGAAATTTGAAAATTAAGTTCAAATTGAATTTTAGGCAAATTCTTAAACTTGGCAAAACGGGAAGAAAAGCATATACGGGAATTCAAACTTTTCAGTTTAGCTCATCATAACTTATAGGATTTTGATGCAATTTTAAAATTTTTTGCAGGGTTACATGCGCACGAATGTTTTACGATTTTACATATTTTTATGCCTGAAAAATGTTGAAAATTGAATAAGTAAAAATTCTAAATATAAAATCTTTTTTTCCCGATTTTCATCCAATTTTCAAAAATGTTTTGGCGTTTTTCATTGTCTCTCCCGCAATTTTGAAGTTATTCAAGAATTTCAAAAAAAGAAACATAGGAAACTTCATTGCGCACGTCACACTTGAAAAAAGTTTGAAATTGCTTCAAAATTGAAATTTTGAGAAATTTTTGAACATAAGAAAACGGGAGACACAACCCTCCTGCAGGCCTCTCTGGGGCTGGGTGGGAGTGAGGATAGGGGGCAAAACGAAAGGGAGCGCCTGTGAAAATTAAAAAAAATGTGCGAACTACACGAAAGACACAGAGACTCAAGTAACTTTACAAGCTGGGGGTGCCCAGCCACACCTGGGCAATGGTTAGTATTAATTTTGGTAGATTTTGAAAATGTGTCATGATGATAGCAAGTCTTATATTCAGATGCAATTTTTCATCCCCACATGTTGTCAT